TTTCTATACATAACTTTTGTAGAAGCCGAAATCAAACCATTAGAAGACTAGTCAGCGCTGACTAGTCTTCTAATGGTTTGATTTCGGCTTCTACAAAGATAGGCTTCTACAAGTACTTACTTGTACTGCGTGCGATAGTCGGCTCTCCCCTGTGTTCCGGTTGGCCCGAGAGGAAGTAAATAGTAGATGATTCTCTGTGCCAGTTCAGCCGACCGCTGCTGTATGTAGTCTATAGACACCGAGGACGTACACTCCTGGTGGACATATAGTCTATACTTGAACGAAGCATACATAAATTGCTACAGTACGTACTGCTGTGCAGTGGAATACATAGACTACTGCTGTCCTGTATGTGTAAGCGTGTAGCATCACCACGAGCACCGATGCCCGTTGGAGCAACTTGGTTGGAGGGATCTTTTAATCGCTCAGTCTAATACGCAAGTAAGTAGTGCACATGTAACTCTGTGCTCACCGTCCGGCTGTTGTGGTGTTGCCACAGTGGTGTTCTTCTTCATGTGCTCTCGTATTTATTCATGCATGCACTGGATGCATGCAGTGTCTTCCTGTGTGGATAACATCAGGACGGGTCAGCTGGAAGTAAGTAAGTGGACCTGGCTGGCCACTAACTACGTCCAAGAGGCACACGCCAAAATGTCCGCATAAAACCCATCCCGGAGCAAGTCATTTTTTTATTTTTTTTGTCATTTTTGTACCACCCCCTCTGCCGTTACCCTCGAAAGAGCGATGCAAGAAAAGAACCAATATTATTTTCGGCGCTACAACGTGTGCGACCGGCTTCGTCTGTCTGCTGTTTGTTGCTGATACATGATCAAAGCACATATGTAGCATATATTAGGATACACCACCTAGGGATCATTATCATATAATAATGCTGTGCTGGCGAGGATCTACCTGTAGAAGAAGTACTTACTTGTTGCACAGAAGAAGTCTCGGTCAAACAGGTTCTTCGTATCGCGACCGCAAGCGATCATCGTGTCGGTATTGTTCAATGCGTGCCCAATTGTTCTGTACCACGACTGCGCCACCGTGTTTATTTGTGGCTTCCCATCCCACCGACCAGTTGCTGCCAACTTTCTTGTTGCTTGCCCTGGTGGTTGGTGCCGGTGCGCTGTGTGTGATGAGTTTAGTTGCTGCTTTGTGTTTTTTTATTCTATTTTGTCTTCACTTCAAATCAATGCTCACGGCATTAGTGCCGTTTACTCCAACCAGTGGTCACACAGAAGAGCCCCTCTCTCTACCCTCCCCTCCTGCGGTACGTTGCCTTCGATTTTTAATGCGAGAAGAGTTCAGCACTCTCTTCCCTCTGTGTACAAACGAACTACATCATCAACATACAGGCCAGGAGGAGCGCGGAAGAAGCGAGAGAAAAACTCACACTTTGCAAGAAAAGCTCGTTTACGCCGGGATTCGAACCCCTGACCTGACCTCTAGAAGATTTCGAGGTTACCAACTAGACCACCGGGGCGACCAGGGTTAGGGTTAGGGCTAGGGTTATGCATATGGGGTATAGGTCATAGTCTATCTATTGCATATATACAGGTGTGCCGCGGGTGAGTCAACCAGTTGCACCCGGGGGCATCGCAGAATCTGATACCGGGTCCCCCACACGACATCCCGAAAAGCTGGAGACCACGAACCCAGTTACCCAGGGGCGGGAATAAAAACGATTTACAACACCTCGGGGAACATACCTGCTGGCTGGCACACACACACCGCAGACAGTTTGTGGGGCTCATCAACCCACCTCCTTTTTTTGCTCAAGGGGCGCAGGACCTCGGCTGTTTGGTCGGAGGGATCTTCCGCTCTTGCTGTGTTGCTGCGGCGGGTCACGCACACATCATCAGGAGGCGCCGTGGGCACCGAGAGCGGGCAATAGCAGAGCGGCATCAGTCGCAGACCACAACGTACGCATTTTGTGAGAGAAGAAAAGAGAGGAAAAGTGGCACGAGCCTACCGGGCAGCGTCCGTCACTCCCTGCGTTCAGAGTTCGGCTGGGGGCCCACAGAGCAGGACGCACACGGCCCCGCGTGGTGAGAACAGTTTGTCCGGGACTCATCCGCTCAAGAGAGCGTGTGCGCATACTACAAGTAACATTACGCAACAACGGTGGAACATCACACGGCGGCACTGACTGCCGCCTATTTTCCAGAGGCGGCGCCGGCAGACAGACTGTACTGAATAATACTGAAGGAGCCAAATTCCGAGAAATCTAGAAATCTACAGGGGGCCTTTTTGGCGCGAACAACTGCGAGAGCTATAGCCGCTCGAAAGAGAGTTTGCCTTGCGTTGCGCCCATCATTCGGACCACCACGGCTCGGGGGGCAGCAGCAGGAATTCCCCCATCATGACTTCCTTCTTGAGGAAGGCGGCCCGGATGAACCTGGTGGCCATGGACTTCGTCCTGCAAGTCACGGTGGTGGAGCTGGTGCTGGGCGCCCTGCTGGACGATGGGAGGACTCTGAGCTTCGAGTTGTCGCGAGGAACAAAGGCAAGCTGCTGCTGTTGGTGCTGTGTGTGCGCACCCACCACCACCACCCTTTGCTACTGCTGCTGCCACTACTAGATATTTTGCAACTGTGTGTGTGCTACTACTGTAGCACACGCAGCTTTATCTGCCCACCCCGTTTAGCACGCTTGCGGCTCTCTATACCTACGCTGCTGCCACGTTTGTTTGTCGCGCAACCCTGCTGTGTCTGTATTCAGGCCGATTTCCCCCGCCACCGCCGCCCACAGCAAACCGGGCCGCATGCGTTCATGCGTTCGACAACCGTACGCACATCCATCCTGCAAAGTGATTGTTGGTTGCTTTGCGCATGCCGCCGTGGTTTTGTTGCCAGCCCCCCGCCGCTTATGCAAATATTAGTGTTAGCCGAGGCCTGTTGGATAAATTCACACGTATATCCCATGACATACATACAATGTAGTCTCCCTCCCTTCCTTCACCTCGTCGTGTATGTAGACAAGGGGCGGCGGTTGATTACGCGGCTGCCTCTGACGAAAAACCAGATGCCGGCCCGGATAGTGCTGCTGCTGCACCCCTTCTACTTACTCCTGTGGTGTGCATGCCTAAAGTAGGGAGTGTCTTGTACAACTCGAGGCTCAATGGGATGCCCAGTGATATTAGGGCACGTCTTTCGGTCAGTGAAAACATTTTTTTTGAACAGCGGACGGCGCGGGTGGTTGGCGCCGCGGCACTCTGTTGTATAATGAAAAAGCTGCCATGTGCAGGCCCGCGAGAGGGAGAGTCTCGTGCGTAGGAGAAACAATGGTATGTCCCCAATTATGCTGCACGTATTTGGCTATTTAGCGATGCTTCAACGATTCTTGATTGCTGCATGAAGCTATGTTGTTAACGCACATCTCCCCGTGATAAAAATTGAAGTAGATATTTTGTCGGTGTGTACAAGCAGGCGACAGGCATCTCCGTACCAGGTGTGCCACAAATTCAGATAAAGCATGGGGCGCCCTTTATAGTGCCGGTTGAATACCGTGGATTGCGTAGTACCACACGTCCTGGACCGATTTTCATTAGCTCGATTACTCCACGACGAAGAGCATGCCGAGTTCAAATGATGGGATTGTCGGAAAGCTTTCGACGAGACGGTTTCAACGCCTCCCGCCATCATCGGCGCCGTCACTGTTTTTCCTGCCGAGAAAATTGAGCTTTGAAAACGGCGCAGCGGTGTGATATCTTCGTCATGCAACCTACGGCGGTACCGTCGGTGTTTTCGGCTCGCCTACTATTTATCGCATACACTGAAATACCAGGTCGTCCTGCACTGTACCTGTGAATCGTGCCGGATGCCCGGTATGTTGTTGTCGGTTTTTTCACATAAAAAGTTGTGTCATATTAAGAAAAAAAAAAAAAAACATTCCGTTCTCTCTGCCCAGTATTTTTTTTTTTGTCTTCACTTCAAACCAGCGCAGTATAGTGCCGGTGAAACATCGGGACACACCCCGGCACTAAAGCACCTCCCGCACTACTGTACAATACGAAACATGGTAGACTACCTTGCAGTAGACTACCTTGTAGTGCAACGAAAAATGTGGCTGTCCGACCCAACTCCTTGGCTCGCTGTTACTGCTGTTGTAGGTGTTGAACATGCCGCCGCATTGATACTTTCGGGCACGTGAAAGAAGAATCGTGCAAAACCATCAACACCACACGCCAAACGGCAAAAAATGAGTAGTCAACCATGACCACCACCTCAGAAGTTGGTGAGAGGGACTTTTTTTTTTTTCTGCTTTGCCACTACCGCTGCGTGCCGCCACGTGTACATCATGTGATCGATCGTCATGTTCCAGTCAACCGAAAATCAAATAAGCACGTTAGTCAAAGTATCTTGCCGGAGGGGGCATCCATCCTCCCCCCCGCTGGGTTGGTTGGATCCAGAGCCGCACCTGGGAGGTTGTAGTACTCTGCATTCGCCGCTCATGGCATCATGTGTATATGTGCGGCTAAATAACGGTGTTTGTCTAGTCGTGTGTTGGTGGGATTTTGTTTGCCTTCCGGGGTCTCCTCCAAACTAATGCGTACAATGCATATTATTACGTGCCCATTTGCTATTGCTGGCTCACGGGGAAACAACCGTCCGTGATTCGTTGTGGGGGCCTTTTGAACAGCGTCAATTCAGCGGTTATTTTATGTCCGGGTGTGCTCTCTTCTTGTGCGTAGCTCATCTACCGCTGACCAATGCACAGACGCCATTTATTCTCGTTGTTAAGGCCAAGCCGACGTCGCTTCTAGAGGTAGGTCACACAGCGGCGGCGCACGGGATGGTATCCAGGACCCAGACTGGTCAAGGGCCTGATCTAGGCGGGGGGGGGGGATAGGTGGTAACATGCTTGCAACAGGCGGAAAGATGGGGGCACCGGGTGCGATGAGATTCTCCTCTGTTGGCAAAAGTACCATATGTCTTCTTCTTGAAACCCTCTAGGCCTACCGTTTCCTTGAATCAACTTCGTCTTTTTCGAACCCCTTCCATACGTCATCTACAACCTCAGCCCACTCCATGGGCTTGTCTACGCCCCTTCTTGTTTACCCACTCGGCCTCCCAAGCTATTATCGGCAACCTCTCATCCCTGAAGCCAGGAGATGTGCATTTTTAACCCCAACGGGGACCCCTGTAGACATTCCTGCATCGAACCACACTGGGCTGAGAGCACGACAAACATGGGCGAGAGGGGGACTGTGCGGTCCTGGATTTTCTCCCGTGCACCCTCCTGAAGGGCGTGATCAGGAATATTTGTTGATGCCGTACACACCACACAAGCCCTTGGGTGTCCTTATTGGGCATACCGAGAGGGCGGACGGGGTGCAATCAACAGCAGTGCCGACGAAGTTTGCAACCATTAGGAAGCAGATGTGCTTGCGAACACCTTCTCGCGGAACAGTCAAAAGGCGCCCAACGTGTTTTGCCAAAATGTCCGCGGTCTTGAGTTGAACACGCCAGCGACGCATTCCTTGTGATGTTTTTCATGTTGCTGGTGCCCTTGCAGTCGTCAGGTCTGCCGCCCAAGGTTGTCTCTACGGCCAGGAGCGAGTGGGAGCAGACGATGCAGGTGGTCATCACCCTTTTTCTCGACAAGCGAAGGTACGCAAAGGCCTGTGTGTGTGTTATTTCCGTTGAGCAGCAGTGTTTACAGCAAAAGAAAGCCGGCTGGCCGGCCGGCCGGTGTACGCTCTTTGTTCCTGACGAGAATGTCCGCACCCAGGCATAGCATCATGCGTGCGCGCCCGTTTATTTATTTATTTTATTATAGTAAAAATCACAGATGATTCGTCTCGAACGGGGTGAGGTCTTCTGTGAACCCCAAGGCATGCTAGTCCGTAGTTTCCGTGCGACGTGGTCAGAATGGTCAAATCGACCAGGGCACCGCTCACTCTGAACACCCCCCCGCCCCTGTTTCGATTTTTTTTTTTTTTCTCAGCGGGCGTTTTCAGGACAAGGAGTACAAGCTGCGGCTGGTTCAGGCGGAGGAAGGCTGCACTATCATCATGGCCCCGGCGTTGGCTACCTTTACCCTTGACGCCAGTCTATACGCGCACCTGGGAGCGGGGTGAGCAAGCAAGAACAGAAGCGCCTTCACTGACCAGTTGAACCTGCTGATACTATATATTCCCCCTAATCTCGTGAACCTGCTGCAATTTGATTCCCCCCGGCGGGCAAAGAAGAGAAGCTTCCAACTCCATTCCGCCGCATTTATGTTGTCAGCTGTGGAACCCAACCTCTGCCTGCCGGCGCGGGGGGGAGGGGGGGCAACGTAGAACAGAGATTCAGCCTGAACACCGGCCTAGCGGTGGTCCTTTACCCGAGCATCTATCGGCGGTCGGGGTATATGTATCGGCTGGGCACGAAAGAAGAGGGCGGCAGTCATTGATCTATATTACTCGCTCGTCTTATCTTGGCTTCGCGGCGGCCGCGATGGGGTGCCACAGGGCGGCGAGGGTAGAGAGAGCCGGTCGCGTGAAAGGCTGTGGTTGTTGTTGTTTGTTGCGGGTGGTGCTGGTGTTGGTTCTGCTGCCACTGACACGGACGCTTTCGGTGCATGCAGTAGATGGTATTGCATGGGTGCCGTGTACTGCCACCCGATTGCCCCCACGACTAAAACGGTCTTGCTGTACACCGAGCTGCTGCCAGGCATCAAAATAAGATATGCTTCCAACGCCAACCCGCCCCATTCCGGCGCCTAAATAGCAAATAATACATTGTGTTTTTTTCTCTCTTGGTGGTGGGGGTTCTATGTTTGAGGGTATTATGGTCGCCCTTAGCCCCGGGAAAGCGGTACGAAGCTAGTGGCACGAGCCGATACTTATATGAAAAAATCCATGCCGTTTGATTTTTTTTTTCCCCCCCAGCCCCTGACCCTTCCCTTTGGGTTTTGTTTTTCCTGTCGGTGCCTGCCCCCCCCTTTTCCCCCCCCCCCCCCCCCCCTCGGTTAAAACCAAAAAAAATGGCAGGCCTTCGGTAGACCAGCCGGTAGATCTGTACGCGCCTAAGCTAAATGGGCCGGGAGGTTTCGCCACCGTGCACCTGCGTGTCCGGTGCTGTGAGACGGGGAGACCCTCCGCCCAGTCGTTCCTGTCCCTTTCGGCTCCGAACGTGATGGTACGTATCTACGAGCGAGGGATCGATCACACGTCTCACGTCTCCCCCTCGTGTGTGTGTGTATGCGTGTGTCTTCATTGTTGGCATCGATCGCGCCAATCGCCTGGCCAATGCAACTGGCCCACCAAATACGAATACGGCAAGCGCACGCGTGTGTGTTCTCTCTTTCCGCTCCGGCCCCACCCATCAGCTGTGCGGAGTATCTATGCATATCTCCCGGCAAGCAACATGACACCTCCCTCGTCTCCTCCCATATTTTCGTCTCAACCCGATTCAGTATCATCCTCCAACCGCCCCCTAAAACCGCTGCCCCCGCCGGCAAATACATACCCGTGCAAAAAAAACGCCTCCCCCGCTCACAGAGGCCGTCAGTTTCTCTTCGTACCGGGTTCCCTCTGCGGCCCCCCCTGGAACAGTCCCGTCCCGGTCTCCTCGTTGGGTCTTCCTTCGGCTTCTCAATGTCGGGGTCCGAGTCCAGATACTCGGCCGGGTCGGCGGGGAGCTCC